ACTCATACACACCCCAAGTTATATATTCAGCCCAACACCGATATACAGTGTTTTAAATGGGTTGGGATATTGGATAGATCTCATCCAGGGTTAAGACAATTGGCCCAAATTATTTAGCGATAGCAAGTGAAATTATGGAACACAAAATTGGGCCTTTGCAGCCACCACCCCAAAACATGAATGAGAACAAAAGCAAAACACCTCATGATAATGGACCTCATGAAAAATGAAACAACTCAGTTAAGCAGTCACTACAAAAACTATACAAATAAATTTGAATTATGATGATAGTGTACTCGATTAAAAGCTATAACCCAAAAAAATTCCTGTGTCTTGTGATCCCCAAGTGGACAAAAATTAAAACACCACGAATCCTAATTTAATCCAAATCCAATTGGCAATTTTCTCCTGTGAATATGGAAGAACATCCCATTTTTGTTCTAGAAGCTCAAGGGCAAGAAATCTTCTTGATATCCTCTTCCCCTGCATACCAACTTGGTATCAACCTTGAAGCATAAGGAGAAAGGTCCTTAAAAGACTTCTTGATTGTACACTCTGCAACCTCTGTGGCACTCGCAATGTCTGCATTCACAAAATCAAAATGCATTTAATTAGAAAAAGAGAAAACCAACGAACTATTGAGTAGAAGGAGCTCAATTCAAGTTCAAGTCTTACAAAAATGTGATTTTTAGATACCAAAAGGTTAGTATGAGAAGATTAAAAGAATGATATTTTGTAGTCGGATTGGCATTCTATGCAATGTGATGGCCATTAAATGAGTGGGACTTTGAAGTAATCTGGTGCAATCCGAATTGCAATAATTAATTTAAAAAAATTTATTTTGATGCTTATTCATACCTTGAAGAGGCTTTTTGGCATCGGAAAGCTCAGTTATCATGTAAATAATGGCTGCCAACACCGATTTTGGATTCCTCCTGATATCCAGATCCGCTGATTTCTGAACGGCTTCTTGCACTGCTTTGATTTCATTGTTCTTCATACTAATTTTGGAACAGAACCGCCGGACCAATTCACTTGCCGGCACAGCGGCCGCCGCTGTCTCAATGTCAGTCTGTTTACGTATACACAAAGCCGCTTTGTGAATGTCCTTCGTCCGAACTCCCTCAGCCACGGTGGCGATTTCTTTCAATGTTCTTGACAGTTTTGCTTCTCTGCACGCAATGAACAGAGCAGCCGCTAGTACCGCGTTCAGATTCCTCCCCTTGCAAGATTTCTGCTCATCCACATTCTTGTAAATCTGGTTGGCCCGATCCTTAATCGCCGCCACAAGCCCCAACCTCTCCGCCATATCGGAGATGATCTTGAATCCTCTGATCAGATTCCTGTCCCCGTTATGCGCGTGCTTCTGCGACCTGAAGACTTCGGTGACGGAACCGTCTTTTCTAGAGGTGGTAATGCAAGTCGAAAGACCTCCGCCGTCAAGGAAAGGGTTTGTAGGGGATCCGACGCGAGTCGGATCTCTGGAATCGGAATCGTCTGCGAAAGTTCGCCATTCTGAAGTGTCGTCAATGCGATAGGATTCGAGGACCAGTCCGCATCCAGAACAGATTGTGTCGCCGGAGCGGTGGTCGATGATGACTTCGGTTTCTTTCTTGCAGTCGATACACTGACTGAATTCCATGATTAGGGTTTTAGAAATCTCTGATTCTAACTTATCCTGAAAGTAGATGTGAAGGGGTATTTATAGGAGTTAAGGGAATTCCTTGAGAAAAAAGAAAACGAAGAGAAACGCCTTCTCCCACAAGGACTTGGATTTTGTAAACCCGCCGTTTAAGGACATAAAATTATAAAAATATCGCGAAAACAAGTGAATCAATCAATTCCTTCTCCTTTTTTTGATGGATTGACAATTGGTACTTTCCAATTCTATGACTTTGGACTCAACATATGCTGTGCGATACTTCTATAAACCTTTTTCTTTTATTTGTTTTAGTTTATCTTCTTTTTTTTTTTCTCCTTTTTTTGGTTTTATAGCTAAAATGTTATCAAGTCAATTTTTATGTTTCTAGAGACAAATCATTACTCAAATTGTTGAATACAAGTCTTCAAATTTAACTTCGATGGAGTGACTCAATTGTTAAGAAAAATCTTAAATTTAAGTTATGAGTTGAGTGGAGAGGAATTTAGGAATAAGGGAGAACTATTACTCATTGTATAACTTATAATTAGATGTAGTAAAAAAAAAAAAGTCTTCAAACTTAAATATTAAACACAATCTATAAAATAAACACTTATTTATTAATAGATTTAATTTTTAAAATTTATAAAAATACAATTGTATTGTCTTTTTCACGACACATCACATAGAGGAAGTGTAATGCCTAGACACATGACACTAAAAAATACATTTTTGCCTTTTTCATTTTATCCCTTCTATAAGTAAATTTTCTTTGTCTCATTTCTACTTCATCCTCTTCCTCATCTTCAATTGAGGAGATAACTAACAAAGATTGAAGCAAGTAGAAGGTTAAGATTTAGAAGGAAACATAGTTAAAAGATGATACAAAATTCAAATTAAGGGTTTGACTGGTGGGGCATCTTCAAAGAGCATCTAATTATTTGTATAATTTTGCTAATTGGGTGCAAGAGAACGTGGAATAACATGTGTTTTGTTTTATTTTATTTTATTTTCCATTATTGAATTTCTTTTTTCTTTTTGCATTAACCTCCTGGTACTGATAACTACATTGGATCCTGACTAATTTGAAATCGAATCACGTTGGATCTCATTAGCGGAGAAATTCTTTTAATTCTTGTTTCTCTATTCACATGACTCAAACTCGATACCTTATTTAAGAGGAACTGAGTTCCTTCCACTTGGACCAACAGATTATTGGTATTATTGAATATTTATTTTGTTTATATCTAGGGGGTAATTGGTTAAAAGAAGAAGAAGAAGAAGAAGAAGAAGAGGCCAAAGCCAACAAATCATTGTTGTTTGAACCCTTCCACAAATTCTTTTATTTATTACAAAGAAATTGATTGTGTTTTGCTTCTTGTCGTTTGTATAATTTTCTGCTTCCTTTTCCTAAGGAAAGAAATTTCGGCTTTGGGGTTATGTTGTTCACCCCCAAAACTTGAAATTGACTGGATTTCATTTCGTACTAGGACGTAGTCTACAAACCCAGAAGGGGATGATGCTGGCATGACTTGGGTTAATTGGTTTTATCTGTTTCCCTTTTTCTAAATTTTCTTTATTTTGATTATACATGAGGAATTGAGGATAAAGGGGTGAACCCCACCACAGTTTGTCAGCAGATTGCCTGTCCCATGTCCACCAATGAGAAAACCACCTATTTGGACCAACCCCACAATGGTTTAAATCTATTTATTATATAGAAAATTGACTAATTATATTTATTCTGTTTCCTCAGGAGAGGATATTCAGCCTAGTTGGCTCTTCTCAGTCTTCTCTGTCTCACATCACTTCCCCAATCATATGAATGAAAAAATCAGTTGCTGATTCTGACAGGGTGGACATGGAGTTAAAGAGTATCAGATAATTCTGACGTGCCACTGCTGCTTTCAGACAATTCCTTTTTGAAAAAGACAAAAGTTAAAACTACTTGGCATCCTTCCTTCCAATCCTGAAACAGAGAAAGATAACATGCTTTTGTGTGTCACAGTGAGTGCTACCACGTTTGTCTTTTACTCCAATAGAATCTCTGATTCTGTGTGGGGGACACACAATCAATATCTGGAAGACTGAAACCTTGTACTTTTCACACAAAATGAAATGGGGTGTAAAGTTTAGTCATAATCATGGAAGCCTCTTCTGCTTTGTGGATCTTTTGCTGCCCCCAACACAAGGTACCAAAAAACACTAACGTTACTTGAGATTGAGAATGATATATACTTTAATGATATGCAGAGTCAGAGAAGCATTTTCTCTTTAACACAACTAAAGTGAGGTCTTGTGAGATTAAAATATTCAAAACACATGTACCTCTATAAACTTTCGATTCCCTGAATAAATGCTGATTTTGTTTCTCTCTCTTGTTCTTTCTTGCTTGGAACTGCAGAGACCTGAAAAGGAAAATAAAAGGAAAGGGGGGGAGAAGGGAAAAGGCAGGAAGCCACAGAACAGAAAAGTAATATTCTTGTAGCAAGCTAAATTCCAGCAATTATGCAGAGAGTTCAAAGACAATTCAAGCTTAATGATCCTCTTCCTCTTTAGAAAGATGCTTCAGACACCCCTATTCCTCCTTGGAATTTCACTAACATATACAAGAAACAATATTTACGTTCTCAAAAATGACGACGGGCCTCTAGTCAAATCAACTGAGTGCCTTGGTTTCAATGGTTGGATCTGTGAACCCGTCCAGCATTCCTTTATGCATTTCTCGTCTTCTTGATTGCCAGCATTAAGGTTATTGAAGATGGACCATTGACATGCATTCATATGGCATGCAGAACATACTTGAAAAGGATTCAATTAGAGGATCAATAACTTAATTGATCATAGTGAAAGACATTGTACCCCCTCAGGTAGATTTTTTGGCAATGGAAGTGCCATGACATATCGGTTGGGAAATGTTTTTTGTGTACCAGTAGATGATGCAGCTCCAGAGTTATCTGCTTGTCCCCGGATATGAAATTTGGCAAAACGATTGATGACGGCAAACCGTTCCAACTCCTGGCATTCCACTCTGATGTCTATAACTGATGCTGTTTTGTCCATTCTGCAATCTCAAAGAGAATGAATGTAAAGAAAATCATGCCAATGGAGACTATATATATCTAGTGAATAACTGCGCCCAAGCATTGTGCAACCAGGCACCTAATATGGAAAGTGTTTTTCATTTTTTTAATAATTCTCAAGGAACATATGGAGAAGATACATCAGAATTTGACATCCAACAGACACCATCCTATTAACAAATATGGCAAAGAAAGGCAGTGAAAGAAGCAAATAAAACAACATATCGATATGTAAATAGAGCTAATAAACTCTAAGAAAATGTTCTTCCCAGTAAAAGGGTTTCTTGCTTTCTATATCCTTAATTATGATTTAATTTACTGCAACAAAAGGATACAAGATGCACCAAAAATAAAACTATGGAGATATTCATCTTTAGGGAACTAGGAATTATGATCTCATCATCAAAAGAAAAGCAATGGTTACCAAACATATTAAAATTCATAAAAAGAAAGAGCTAGTTTCACACCTTTGGAAGTCATTTTCCAGTTTCTTTGCTCTACTAATAAACCCTTCCATGACTTCTGAATACTTTTGGTCAGTAGTCTTTCCAAAACTTTTGAGCTTCTCCTTCTCAGAGATCCTGGACAAATTAAACAAGCAATTTAATTTGCAGAAGATCAAACTTGGTATGTATATCATGTCTTATTTGTTACTAATAAGTTCAAAACTCTCAAGAAGTAAGAACGTGGGACTGACATGTTACTATTGTCTGAAGGAAGCTGCAAAGCATTTCCTACACCATACGAGAGGCTGCATGCATCACCTAGGGCTAACCTAGATGCAATATAAGATACACTATCATAATGTGAGGTAGCATCTGTTGAAAGAATGGACCATGGCGCAGGGTTAAACAATAGCTGCATAAGCTGTGTGGTCAAGATAAGCCTCCTCTTTGATCGGAACATTGGGTGTATGTCTTCAAGCATTTCAACTTCATCTTCCACCTGCCAGTATTAATGCAAAAATTAGTACCTTTAACCTCAAAATGCAGGATTCATTTTTAAGTGTGACTAAATTTCACAATATCAAACTAGATGCACACCTTCTCAAAGAATCGATTTGCAGCCACC